AATCAAGAGCATTTTACAAAATATATGGTCTGATATACATCTGAATTTATCCTATAATTAGACTTTGAAGGGTATTTAAAAAAAGAAAGAACCCCAACATATTTAACACTGAATAGCCTAGCAGAATAATGCTGGTGTATACTTGCCAAACTCTTTAAGAATTTATTATACTTGTGCCARCATGGTGTCCTGTGGGGTAAATCTATTACTTCCATGTTGATTACACTTTGAATTGTTAGGAAAAATTAGAAAGCCAGGAGATCTTGTTTGCATGGCCTTGACACGTTGAATCTCTTTCTCTTTTTTCCTTTAGGTCAGCACATGTGCCTATATCACCCAGAAGGTGGAATTTGCTGGCATCAGGTAGGTATTAAATCACTTTTGACCTACCAGTAAGTAAACAGAAGTAGGATCTAGTGCAAGAACTGGGCTACATAAGGTGCTTGAGGCACATGGATACCCGTGTAATAAAATACAAAAGAGCTTAATGTTTTAAGCTCTTTTGTATTTTATTACACTGGTATGATAGTAGTTTTTGTATTTTATTACATAAAAGTTATGATAGTAGTTTTAAGATTAGTGGTAGAAGTTGCTGAAGCCCTGGTTTTCTGTAGCAAAGGAGTTTTAGACTTATATATATTAGAGCTGGAAAAAACCTAAGATCTGATCTATCTAATTATTATTATTATTATTATTATTATTATTATTATTATTATTATTTACCCTGGATTAAACCCAGGGATGCTTAACCCCTGAGCCACATCCCAGCCCTTTTTAATATTTTGTTTAGAGACAGGTGTCACTGAGTTGCTTAGGGTCTCACTAAGTTGCTTTGAATATACAATTCTCCTGCCTCAGCCTCCTAAGGCCCTGGGATTACAGGCATGTGCCAGCATGCCCAGCCTTAGATGAATATATTTAATCAAACCTCATTTTACAGATTAGAAAACAGGTTTAGGGATATAATAGTGACTAGAATAGTAGTTCCTGATTTGTTGCCTTTGTAAGTATATTGCAGTGCTCTATATTGGTTAAAATTATTTCTGTATTTCAATTTGTAATGAAAATCTTCTATTTTTTTTTT